TTTGATTTTGTCAACTGCACAGTATAGTAGGGTCAGTTGGGCACCATCTATAAGATAAAGAGCACCATAATGCAATTTACTCTGCCAGAAATTTGGAAACTGCATGCTCTACTGGTTGGCATTTGTGCCAGAAGCTCCAATATGAACATTTCAAAGTGTTTGTGTGTCAGTCTGGGGACAGTGCAGAGGATTTGGAAAGAATTGGATATGTCTAATGGCAATTGCGAAGGTATGACAGCTCTGAGAACTCATTCTGATTGTGCTGATAAGAAAAGAACTCCCAAATTTGTTGGTGGGACCCAGGCCACAATTGACAACGATCCCTCCAAATCAGTCAGGCCCATAGCCAGGGATACAGGAGTGTCTGAGTTTCTTATCAGGTAGGTAGTGCATGAAGACATTTGGTATTTCTCATACAAGATGAGAAAGGGTCAATTTTTATCACAAGAGGAAAGACCATGATCAGTGACCAATTTTGAGTTGTTCTGTAGTCTATTGTTGCCTACAGCATCTACTCCTCACTGCTTGTTGTGACACAGGCCCAATCAAGAGCCCTTCGCAGGAACTAGCTTAAATGACGCCTAATAGTGCATGATATCACTAATAGTATCTCTTAACATCCTGTTGAAAGTTTAGCAATAATACTGATTGCATGTTACATAATAGAAATGAACACTAGAGGAAGGGATAAGAGGTTCCAGCCTTACATTAAAGAAGAATGTCCTCACTTCCTTTAAAACAAATCTGAACAAGCTTAGTTTAATTTGTGTAATATCATGTCTTTCAGAACTGGCTAGCTGAAACTTAACATCCAGTCCTGTGATTCATAGCATTGGAACCTATCAGCAGTTTCCTGACTAGGGTCAATCAAAAGACATTCTCATTGCTAACATGAGCTTATCATTACCATTATGTGAGAAAGTTTCAGTGGTTGTGTCGATCTTGTGACTTTGGGAACCATCAATCAAGTTTTGTCTCCCAGCAACAACCAAAACTGAGTCTTTTTAATTGCTAGCCACAAAATTTGCATCTCCTGTGGTTACCATTGCTGCTATACAAAACATTAACTTTCCCATTGCTAACATGAGATCTTAACACACAGTTCTGTGATTCACAGCATTTTCCTAACTAGGGTTAATGAGAAGACTTTCCTATTGCTAAAATGAGATCTAAGCACCAAGTCCTGTGATTCATCAAACAATAACCCATTATCACTTCTCATAATTAGGATGAATTAACTGACAACCCTGTTCATTGTGTTGCCACATTCTCAATTCTGAGATAAAAGACATCGTTAGAATGAACTCTTAAAATTCCACACAAAAATAAGACGATAGTTGTTTGTGTTCATTGAATATTGCCAATTCATCTCAGTCGTAGACAAGGAAGGTAGATCTGCTTTGTTTATATTGGATGTCGTAATTATTTTCATTTGCTAATTATTATCTTGTTTAATTTGGGAAAAACAATCAGTTAATTAGACAGAAAAACACAAATACTGCCTCCTCCTGAACACCTTTATTGAAAATCGAAAATCATCAATATCTCAGTGCCAACATCAGACACCCCTCCCCCCGCCATTCTGTCCCAGCACCTATCTTGGCTTTGAAATTATTTCGGTGATGCCTACTTCAAGAAAAATAAGCTTTTTGAAGTCAAGTGGCCACTGGGCAAACATTTAAAGTAACTCCTCCTCACTGTTCTAGTTTTGTTAATGTTAAAAAAAATGTATAAGGAAAAAGAAATTCTATTCCAAGAGTTGTCTGTACTGTGGATGTAATTGTTGTACCACAGTTTCCTTGGTGCCGTTTGGAACTTTGAAAATAAAACAAACTAACTCAAAGGCATAAAATAAATAATATACTTTATTTATTTACTTTAGAGTATGTTCTTTGGTATTTGGTGTCCCAAAAATGTTTGTTTAAGGTGGATATTGGCAGTAGCTTGGAGAAATGTATTTGAGTTTTTGGAAGTCAGCACTTGATAGTAGTCATAGTCATTTTAGAAATAAGTCAGTGTCAATCTACTGTGTTTTGCTTGGACATAAGCAGGGCAGAAATATGATTATCAAATGACCTCTTAACTACTTTTTCACATGTCACACATGTCTCGTTTTTCCACTGTAGCATCTTTTATCATCACTCTCGCTGTCTCTTCTGCTAGCTCTGTGGTGTCAGCTTATATCCTTTTGACCAGGCTCTAAGACTCTGGCAGGAACTTTGGTTTCAGCTAACATCAAAAGTCTGTGTTAATTTTTTTGTTTTTGCCAAAATTATTTTATTTCCTGACATTCCTTTCTTTTTTCATTTTTTTTTTTAAAAAGGAAGTTATAAGTTAAGCCTCCCTGATTTTTATTAGTTTTCAGTCACAAATTAGTAGGCTTTATTCCTGCAAACTGTTACATAAGAATAAAGTGTCATTGCTGACACTTAAGTTTGAATATAGTTTGACACACATATAGAAAGTAAGAAATAGTTTATTCCGGAGAATAATATGGAACATAGTTGGGGACACAGACTAATGTAGTAAACAGTTAATCATTAACTCCTCTCCATCAGTAAGAGAGAGTGCTGTTTAAATAGTCTTAGACTAGTAGATCTTAGGGTAGGGGGGTGTTCAGCTACTCCACAACATTTTTGTTGCTTTTGATATTAATTATATGATTTGAAAGTCTGGACTCCAAATAATTTCAATTTGAAAATCACAAGTCCAACACAATTACTGAAAACTTTCTCAGGTATTGGCAATATTAGCCATTTCCCTACAAAGAAACTTTTAGCATTCAGTCAAACAGCTGCCACTACTGCTTTCAGTTGAAATTTATAAAATCTTTTTGTTAAAACAATTTTCAGGAAAGTAGGTCTTTCAAGTTCAGGACTTGATATTGCTCTTTCCATTGCTAAGAAAGTTGTATGAAACAAATTTTCTCTCTAGAATCTATTCTACATATCTATAAAATTACCATCCGTCAATGCTTAGAATATTGCTGCCACATATGGTAATATATATATATATATATATATATATATATATATATATATATATATATATATATTTTATGAAAGTGAAACATGTCAGATTGATAAACATTTGCGATTTGTTCTTTTATCTTATCTTTCTAGCAGATTCTGATCTGTATTTGATCCCAATTCATATATATATATATATATATATATATATATATATAGGGTGCAATGGTTAAATTGTTGACTGTTATACACGAAAATGAAAATGACATATATTTTAACAAATATATTTACCAAAATTGAACAAAATATCTTGAAATACTAAAGAGTAAATCTACTCAATAAAATCACCATTGGCTTCAACCACAGCCTCCAGATGACTTTGCAATCTCTTGCATCTCTTCTAGACTTGTTTATGTTGTTGAATGCTGCCATAATCCTTGCCTTCAGTTCATCTTTGGGGTTACAAGGAGTTTTGTTGGTCTCTTGCTCAACTGTGCCTCACACATATTATTCAAGGGGGTTGCAGTCTGGAGAGTTAGGTGGTCAAATGTAAGATGTGATGTGATCGCAGAAATTGTCCGACAGCCATGATTGGGTTCTTCTGCTTGTGTGGTATGGTGCAGAGTCCTGTTGCCAAACATAGGGTCTTCCAGCAGCCATCCTCTTGACCCAGGGCAGCACTACTTCAAGGCACTTGATGTAGGCCTCTGTATTGAATTTGAGGCCCTGTGGGAAGATGAATGGAGGCATAACGTCGCCATTGCTTGAGATCACTGCAAACACCTTCGTAATCATTAGACTCATCAAACTCTTTCTGAATTCTCTGCATTATCCTCAGATTGACACGTAAACACTCTGAAATGGAAGAGTTAGGTGGCTAGATGTAAGGGGTGATGTGGTCAGGGTCTCCTGATTATGTGGCATGGTGCAGAGCCCTGTTGCCAACATAAGCTCTTCCAGCAGCCACCCACTTGACCCAGGGCAGCACTACCTTCTCAAGGCACTTGATATAGGCCTCAGGAAGATGAATGGGGGAATAGCATCACCATCATTAGTGATCACACTAAACATCTTCCTAATCACAATTAGATTCATCCAACTCTTTCCAAATCCTCTTAACCATTGACACCCAAACACTCTGAAATGTTCATATTGGAGCTTCCAGTGCAAGCGCCAAACAATATGGCATGCCGTTTCCAAAATTTCTGGAGGAGTGAATTACATCATGGTGCTTTTTTTATATATATATATATATATATATATATATATATATATATAGCTTAAAATTAGCTATATCTATTGGCATTGAGTGTTTAATATCATATAATGCATTTATATTGATTTGTTTTTTATGGTTTATCAACCCTTTGTGGGTTATTTGAAGCTAAAATATATTTTAGACTGTAAGAATAATTTTTTTTATTTTTGAAAATAAACATTGCATACAAAAATTTTAACTGAATAATAAATTTACAAAGTCTTGGTACCAAAATCAAAAGTCGATGATTTTTTTTTAAATTTGTTTTTACCCTAAGCAAGACATTAAAGCCACTACAACACAACAGGTTACTGAGTGTGGAAGAATTAGGAACAGAAACATTAATAATGAGTAAGAAGATAAAAAAGTAATCAGCTTGACAAGTCAATAGCAATTTATATTGCATTTAAATTTTTGGAAATTAAAGTTGGCCAGAGAGCATGGAGCTGGAAAGGAGTTCCACAAGCAAGAAGTGTGAGAAGAGAAAATGTTCACATTTATAGAAAGGTCGCCAGGAAGCTATGTTACAGCAGTAGGAAAGTCACTTAAGCTGGGATGCCAGATCAGGGCCAATAATATTACAGATTATTTTTTGGATTTTGTCCAGGTTGTTGTAGGATACTGACAAATCCTGCTTGTTTTCTTTCACAAAATTTCGCGATTTATGATTTGTCTTTTTTCAATGCAATGATGACAAGAAATCATAATATTCTCTCCTTTTTTTTTCCCCACTGAGATTAGCCATTGATATTTTTTCCTCCGTCTTCTTTCAGAATGTCTTACTTACATGAAGCCGCTCTTATGGGCTCAACAGATATCATGTCTCTCTTACTGGAGAATGGAATTGCTGTGGACCTCAAGGATAATAAAGGTAAACTGTTTCTATTTTCCTGTTTCTGTCTTTGTTTTTGTTTGAGATCATGGAATATTGTCTCATCTTAAG